ATTCCGTTAAGAACATTTACTGTAATATTTATTCCAGTGGAAATAATATTCCAGAAAATTGTTTCCATTTGGAACTTATATTATGAAGGAACTTCTATTCCGTGGCAGTACGCCAACAAAAAAGATCATGCTCAAAGAATAAGTTATCTCTTGCCAGCATGCATATAGCATAAGTAAATCATACATAGGATTTCAGTAGGTATTCTGTGATGGCCCCATTTAAATTTATTTAAATATAATATGTGCAATAAGTGTTAGGTCTAATCAATGTGGTTCTAATCCTAATACAAACTTATTGGTCTCATTATTTACAAATATGGGTGTGACATAAAAAGATATAATTGGACGGACTTGCTGCTATTTTGACATCCATGTAGTCGTCTCTCTGTACATTTGCTTTTATTGGTATTTAGTGAACAAAGTACTGTATAATATGAAGTGTGCGACCCTACCCCATATGAGTCTAAAACTTAGATATTCACAGATAAAAAAATGTTTTTTTTTTTATGTTATTGGGTTGTTGGCTCTTTGGCACACTCACCAAATTTGACATAACGCATATTATACATGAATGTTAAATAGCTATTTAGTATAGTTTGTCAAATCGAACAATTGTATATAACCGCTTACTAGGATAATAATCGACCGATTAACCGGTTAACCGATATTAAAGTTGATGTTCACAGACTATGTCTACAGTAAACTAGTATACTTTAAGAATCAATTTTAAATTATCGTAAAATTCTTAACTAGATCATTCTGTATTGTCTGCATGTAAATGGTACGATTGATCGATTGATTATTTGGTTTTACGTCAAGTGGCAAATATTTCATATGAAAATAAGAAGATGTGGTATAATTGCCAATGAGACAACTCTCCACCAGAGACCAAATGACATAGAAGTTAACAGCTATAGGTCACCGTACGATCTTCAACAATGAGCAAAACCCATACCGCATAGTCAGCTATAAAAAGCCCCGAAATGACAAATGTAAACCAATCTAAAAGAGAAAACTAACGGACAGTGTTGTAACGACACAGACCAAGAGCAAACTATGCAAACCAATAAACGAAAAACAAATATGAGAAACAGCCAAAAACGACAACCACTCAATTACAGGATCCTGACTTGGGACAAGCACATATAGAATGTGGACTAAACTAGTCTGAAGGCGCCAATCCCCGCCCCCTTTAACCTTGCACAGTGGTGTAACAGTGCAACATAAGTTCACACTATAAAAATCCGTTGAACAGGGATTAACTCATTAGATCAATACAAAGCAGAAATACATCTAACAAAAACACAGGCCAAACGTGGTAGGGTACTCAACATATCATCCCCACAACACTATAAGTACAGATCTGAGAGTACTCGCAGTTACTGACGGCTAGTTCAAAGCAATTGATAACTAACAAAAACATCTTGCATGTTTAAGACGAAAACAAATTTTAAACAATTACTTCAATATGGTGTTATTATCTTATTAATTTAGATAACCCTTTAATTATTGCTGATCATATATGAGAATTTTTAGACAACATTCGAATGGTTTATACGTATTACAGAAAAAAAAATCAGATTTCATTAATGGATTGTTTTTTTGTTTGCAAGACGTCGTTTGTCAAATTTTAGCGAATATTCAAAACGGAAATATAATGCATTTAAGGAACAACCCTTTCATTTAAAAAGAGGGTGTATGGTATTTTGGAGAAAAAAATAACGAATTCCTAAGGGAAGAAAAATAAATAAGCTGCATTGACCACACTATTCTGTTTTACAAAAAGAAATAATATTTTGTCTCAAATTTAGAAGAAAAATAATTTGGTTTAATTGTGTCCATCTGTTGAAAAAAAAATCATACTAATATAACCCCCTCTTGAAGTTAAATCTTCTTAAGTAAGTGCATATTCTATTTAGCTAAAAATAAAACTTGTGTTCAGTATATTCAAACCAGTAACCCCAAATGTCCAATCTGACTTGCATTTGTTAGCAAATATATCACAAAGACAACCACTCAATAATTTTGATAACATATTTGACTCAATCATGGAGGTATTATACTTCCATGACTCAATGAACCATAACAAGTTTTTACAAATTGATTTGCTCGCGTAATGTAATGTGAGTTATGCATTTTCTTAAACAATTTAAAGTTCCTACAAATATTCTTTCATGTACCATCGATACGTTCAAAAAAGCTTTAAAACCCCTTAGCAACATCTAAGACTAATATATTTAGTTGAAATAAATCAGGTTAAACGACCAAAGACAAAGTAATAAAAAACAATAATGGTTAAACTTGTTTCAGTTTCATGCAATTCATATAACTTCAAAGTAAAATATAACAACTTGCTGACCGACAACTTCAAAGAAAACAACATTTCAAAACCAGGCATTGCATGATACTTTATAATTAGTTTAATACTGGTAATTTAAGCACTTGAATGCATGCAGCGTTTAATTACAGTCAAACTTGTGGGCGGGTATCCAATTGTGTGAACATAATACATCAATTTGATTGGTTAAAATGCATTATAGATTTATATGTAGAAAAGACGCGGGTGAATTAAAATCAAATAGGCATTCTTTTAATAACTGTCAAATAGTACCGCACGAGTCCAACCTAGACATGTTAGAGCATACTGTATCTGTTAAGTACGTTCAACATCGCTAACCGACGTCGAACTGTTGAATACCAACAACCAGGAACCATTTTTCATCGAGTTGTTTAATCGCTCTGATGTGGATCAAAACGGAATTAATATTTTACGTGGATTGTTATTAATGACGGGATGATATTTTTTGGATCAGATTTGTAGATAATACAAGGATTTGAAAAATAGATAGTCCTTGGTTTCCATATTAAATAACATGAATTATAAAACTTTCAATGAGTCAAAAAAGTAGCCCAGGAAGAAACATCAACAAACCAGAACATTTCCTTCGGCCTTTTCTATTTTTCGCTCGTCGCTTATTACAGCTGAGCAAGAAGTAATAATAATTATAGGAGTAAGAATTTTTCGTATTTAAAAACCCGGATTGACGCGTTACCAGTGTTTTCAGTGAGATGAGATAGCAGCCATTTGATAATATTTGTATTATGTATTAAATAAAAAGATTTATCCTGACTATATGCATATCATGTATAATCAAACAACACCATAGCTACAAAATCTTTAATTTACAAAACTGCGAGACCCTATTACCCAACAGCAATTTGTACACAAAACAAGTATTTAGACAGAAAACAAGGAACGAACTAAATGCAAATATAACAATAAATTTTACAGTTCATTTCAATAATATCAATGATTCCAAATAACAACCTTGCAAATCATTTGCACACCACATAAATGTTTATGTTTCCTATATATTTACAAAGGTTTCGCATATATGCAAATTTCCACAATGCCGTTATCTTTAGATAGCTTAAAAATTAATCACAAATGATAAGGTTGCCCATTACTTTATGTTGGTCTGAAATATGTAAATACTTAAATATTTGCTTTATCGGGTCACCAGGTTCAAACTTAAGATGCCTCACCATATTTGCATATGTATGCAAATGAAATACTGCTTAAACCTATACAAAATTTGAAATTTAACTTTGACACAAAACCTGTAAAATTAAAACAAAATATCAATATTAAAGAAATATTTAGTGCTTGTAAAAGATAAACGATATATCAATTTTAATTAATATTTTCTCAAGCTATAAATCATTTTAAAAAGTCATATTTCCATCAATAAAAAACATAAGCATTTACTTACTATTGCAAATTTAACTATTTCCATACAATACCACACGCTAGTAAAATTTAGCGTATGGTCACGTTTAATAATAATGTGATTTTTTGTATTTGTATTGAATTCAAAACTATTGTTCAGGAAAGAGAATCGTAACAGGTTCACACACTTTACCCACGTTTTATATGATATGTAAAAGGCGGCCGCGCCTACCTGCAACACCATGGATGTTTAAAGGGAAATATTAAGATTTATTGTCAACGAAGATAGCACAAACATATTCACAGCCTAGTAAAGTTTATCTAAACATGTGCCTTTATTTATGTTTATCATAAATTTACATACGTATGTAAATCGATCTTTTCATGCAGTGAAAGAACATCCAACGATTTAATTATGTCTTTAATGATAGATGTTTATCGCATAATTTTTTTTACGAGTCTTCACTAATTGTAAATGAATTCAACATCCATGTATTATACCAATGACTTTATTTCTTACAATAAATCTTGAAACTGCACCCCTTCTGTCATCTAAGAAGATTTCGATTTCGAACAGGTTTATGCTAAATCATGTCCGTATAATGGACCACATGAATTTCAAGGTGTATAGAGAAATATGAGTAAAACATTATCTCAAAAGAATAAACAAACATTTTCAACAATAAGATCAGTAAAGCAAATATTGATAAAACCCAATAGAAATATATTTGAAAATACCCGTATCAGAGAATAACATTCCAAAATATTGAAAGGGCATTTCATTTAGTTCTAAGAAAGATTTTATCATTCGATATTTAGTGTTGACGGTAACTCTTTTACAGACCGTTAAATGTATCAATTTCTTGTCTGGACATGATATGATTGAAAGTGTAATACATACTTAAACATGTTTCACCACTTATCCCGATCAGTGGAACAAAACATTATGTAAATATTTGCACGAAATCTTATTATGCATATACAACATGTACAATTAAAAAATATATTGTCATAATTCTTCTTTTCATAAACCGATCAGTTTGATTTGGATCTCGAAAAAAAAATGCACAGCTGTTTTTTAATCAATTTGCTACGGCTAAACTCAGTTAAATCTAATGTAATGCCACGTGCACCGAGATATTTATTATCTATCAGTTTTGAATACAAAATCTATAAAGAAACCCCTTCTCTTTTTGGAAGATTTAAATTAGCTCAGATGTTGCTGCTGAAAATGTCATTTAAAACATTGTCACAATAATTATAATCTTACCTGCATTCTTTAAGTCAATTACCGAGAAAAACGATACCACAAATATGATCGAAATGTACATTTCAGCAGCACCAACATAACATGTCTACAACATGTAGTTTTGAAAAGTATCGCAATTCAATTAAAAAGATAAAAGTCTACTTTCCATAATCATTCTGCGCAGTCTCGGTGTCTTTTTTTACCTCTGCCTTGTCCTCTACGATGTTTTGATCATGAATCATAATAACGTTTCTATGAAGCATATTGGCTGTTTACATTTTGAAATCTATGCCTTGTTAATATTTTAATCTTGTTTGGATCGAAAAACTGCATTTGAAATGAAAACAAAAGTTTACAAAATAAAACATTTAAATTTTGTTATCACTTTTCGTTTTAAAATATCAAGTTATATTGTATAATTAACGAAGGTATTTTGATATATTCTAAACATAATATAGTTACACTGCAATAAATAAACCTTTACCATCATAATGAAGCTAATGGTCTCTTACAAGTGTTTTAAACATTTTGAAACCGAAATTGTTTTTTTTAAAGAAAATATGACCGTGGCTAGGGTTAACATGTATGAATCATTTTCAGGAACAAAATGTGCCATTTTATATCAATGTACATTGACTATTGTTTAGCACTAGAACCATAAGTGGAAGAAAAAAAAAGACAAGGCAAAAAAAAAAGAAACCTAAAACCAAACAACAAAACACTACACAAAAAGTTTTAAGTAAAGCAGCACGATCTACATTAAATTATATCCGACATTAGGTTACCGATGTTCAAGAATCATCAATTCATTGTGAAAATAGCAATCAAGATAATAAACAAGTGTTGAGAGAATTTCATGGACTTCAACTGCGACACTGGTTGTATCGACGGAGTAGGCGTGTTATGCTTCGTATGTATCATCTATTTTGTATATCAACATTTTGTCGAACAAGTATAGAATATATTTTTTAAATTAACAGATCTACCAACATTTTTATCATAGCCACGAAAACATGTCCCTAACCATTTGAGACGCAATCATAAACGTGATAATGACCATATACTTATACACTGTCAATTTCAGTTGTTCTTCCTCACACCTCTGTTTGAGCAGTTTCCGTGACAGGGGCACAACCCTTTTCATAAAGACCGTTAATTGTGAGCATGGACAAGTGTAACGTAAGATACGAGATATGTAACCGCAAAACGATGGATTAAGGGGGTTTTCTGATTGAGAAAAGGAAGCTTGTAATTGCAGATTGTCTTGTCTTTGCATTTTTGATTGTGTTATTTCTTTCTTTTTTTTATTTCCTTTTGTTACTTCTTCGTATTTCTATTAATGTACATGTGGTCATTGCATTTCTCTTCGTGTTCTTTTTATATTTCTCTTCCTATTTCTTTAATTTGTGTTTTGTTCCTTCCAGTTCTTATTGTATCTTTGGAACAGACATGAGCAAGTAGTAAGTTTTGACCAATACTCCTTATTTTGTAAAAAGTGTTTTCTGACGCACGCATTTAGTTTCAATTAAAAAAAACAAACATACCGCTTGTAAGTAAACGTTATCGCTCTGCTTCTGAGCAAAATCAAAGAAAAGAAAGAAAACTTCAGGTTATAATCGAATTTCAACCAATGTAGATTTTATTTCTAGCGCACCACTCGATAATACACAAATATAGCCAACCGTTCGAGGAAAGTTTAAATCAAAGCTAACAATTGCAGAAAAAAAGATATATACGAAATTCTGATGTTAATTTTTTACGTGTGCTCAGTTTAACTTGCATCCATTGAGTTACTATCATTAACGGTAACAATGTTTATTCACCAGATGTGCAATTTCACAATCGATGTCTTTTCAGTGTTGCTCGAGGTCGAAATATTTGAAATTCAAAAATCTTATGAAAATATTGGAAGAGCTTATTAAAACAAGAGGGAACTTAATTATAGTCAAATGCGGACAACGAATCAGGGCTTTGAATGAGGGAGGAATATTTCAAAATTTTAAAAATAATTTTCAATCTGGCAACATCTGTATCTTCATGGTAGTATCGAAGTACTAGTTACTGGGCTAGTGATAACCTCGGATGGGGAAGAACAGTCCGCCAGCAGAGGTATCGACCCAGTGGTAGTAATAACATGAAAGGTGCCAATGTTTATGCAACAGACGCACATATCGACAATAAGTGTCTCTTTATCGAGTTCGAGATATTTGATAACTCAAAACATAATAAAAACGTTGGAAGAGCTGATCAAAACAAAAGAGACCTCAGATATAACCAAATCCTAGCAGGAAATAAGAGCTTTGCATGAGGGAGATATATTCCTTAATTTATAAGTAACAGCAAATTTCAATCTAACAATATCCGTATTTTAATGTTCTATTTTTGACAAGTTTACCATACAGGATGAAATAGCATGTGTTAGAAGCATTGTTGTCGTGCCATTAAAACATTAATGATGATACGTAAAATACGATAGACTACAACTGTATGAATAGGGAATTGTGGAAAATGCGATGTAACAGCAGCAACCACATGACAGACAAACTAAAAGAGATTTTCATCTATTAATATCTCTAATTATAAGCTAGATCTATACGTCGTAGACTTCTGCTTTTTGATACCTCCACTCACAAGGAAGCTATTAAACCAAGAGTTCCAAGTGGTGAAGTTGAAGTCATCCATTCGTAAGTTTTACGGACGCCATCACAAGTTGGTTCACCGTTATGGAATATCCGTTTCACAGATGATAACGGATATGTTCCTAATGTCGTAACTACAATCCAGTACCTTTTCCCGAATGTGACCTACCGAATTAGACTTATTATTGGGTTTGTAATAACATGAGCAACACGACGGGTGCCACATGTGGAGCAGGATCTGCTTATCCTTCCGGAGCACCTGAGATCACCCCCTGTTTTGGTGGGGTTCGTGTTGCTCAATCTTTAGTTTTCTATGTTGTGTTTTGTGTACTATTGTTTGTCTATTGGCCTTTTTCTTTTTTTAGCCATGTCGTTGTCTGTTTATTTTCGACATATGAGTTTGAATGTCCCTCTGGTATCTTTCGTCCCCTCTTTTCCAAATATGCGCTGCAAATGAGCAGTTTTTACATTCAGTTTGTACTCGATTATCCATTATCGGATGGTTTTTAAATTGTCGATTTATCTCGCGGTCAATTTAAAATATCAAAAATTATAATCCATAACGAAGGAAGTAAATCATGATCCATCTATCATCAAGGCGAAGAATGCACCCATAACAGGAGGCGTTTACCCTGTGAACGCACCCGGTCTCACTTCTTTTGGATATCTATAATGTTGTATTTTCCCTTAATTTGTCTTTTACTAATGAGTTAACCATCGGTAAACTACTGGCACCTTAAATTAAATGAGCATTTGAAATAGTAATTTATATAAAATATGCAATCATACGGAGCTGATTTATTAGGTTGGAGTTGAGAGGATTACATAGATGGTGGTTTTTGTGATAACAATGGTTAACATATGTGATAACACTGGTTAACATATGTGATAACACTGGTTAACATATGTGATATATGATATAAACATGAAAAAATATCTGATTTATTAAGACACAAACGTTAAAGAAAAGTTTTCACCTCTTGTCAATGTAATTTTTAAGAATGTATACAAAAATCCCGACTTAGTGTTAATTATCGACTATCAAAAGGCGAAAGGTGAAGAAGTTTCCCTGATTTGAAATATCAAAGATAATCTATGCATTGCTTTTGTCTTATTAAACATCAATAACATAGGCTTATGACGTCATCGTGTTTTCACTCTTTTTGACTGAGATAAACCATTCTCAGTGGAATACCTAAATATGGATACTAACCACACACAACAAACAAATTAAAGTATAAAAATAGCAACATTATTTGAGTTAGATTACTACCAGAGGATTTACGAATAACTTGTTACATTTGCAAATGGGGGAAGGTTAAACAAACACTGCCACTACCCAGCTTAAGGCCTCTTCCGAACATTTGAAAGTCCCTACTATGTACTGGTTACCTAAATTGCACAAAAAACCATTTAAATTCCGTTTCATCTCCGCATCTAGTAAGTGTTCTACTACTAATCTATCAGTGCTTCTAACTACCTCCCTTACTACTATCAAAGAACTTGTTATTAACTTTTGTAATAAAGCTTATGAAAATAATGGTATTAATTATTTTTGGAGTGTTGAAAATTCTTTAGAGGTTTTAGATAAAATACATGCTTTTGATGGTCCTTTTAATTCTGTTGACAGTTATGATTTTTCTACTCTCTATAGTACACTTCCACACAATCTTATCAAGAAAAAGTTTTCATATTTAATTAAATGGTCTTTTGAAAAATCTCATTACAAATTTATTTGCTGTAACTCGTTTAAAGCCTTTTTCTGTAACGAAAAAGGAAAGTATGCTAGATACACTTACTGGAAATGTGAAGATATGATTGAAGCTTTAAATTTTCTCCTGGACAACATATATGTACGTTTCGGCGATAGAATGTATCGACAGGTAGTAGGTATTCCTATGGGCACTAACTGCGCCCCTTTAATAGCAGATTTATTCCTGTATTGCTATGAATCTCAGTTTATGACCAAACTCAGAAAAGACACGTCATTGTTACATTTGGTTGATACATTCAACAATACCTTCCGTTATCTAGATGATATTTTTTCGTTAAATAATCCAGAGTTCTCTAAATATACTACCGAAATTTACCCAATAAAACTTACTTTAACTAAATCTAACAAACAGCAGTAGTTGTCCTTTTCTGGATTTGGACATTTCAATCTCTAAAGGAAAACTCCATACGAAAATTTACGACAAAAGAGACGATTTTTCATTCCCTATTGTTAATTTTCCTTTTTTAGACGGCGATGTTCCTTTGGCTCCATCATACGGTGTATATATATCCCAACTCGTTTGTTATGCCCGTGTGTGTAGTGATGTCATAGATTTTAACGAACGTAATCAATGCATCACTGGTAAATTATTAAATCAAGGATTTCGTTACCATAAATTACGTAAAACTTTTGCTAAGTTCTTTCATAGATACAAAGATTTGATTAGTAAATTTGGCTGTACTTGTAGAAAACTGATTAAAAACGGTATTTCGCATCCTAAATTTTACGGTAATATTGTACTTAAAGCGCGGAAATCACTATGTGATCTGTGTAAACTCATCGAACCTTTAAACAGGCTTATTAGTAAAGGTTATCTTACCAAT